AAAGATATTTGGAAGGGAATCGGAGAGAAGGTTGGACTGACAGGTGTGTGATTAAAAAAAATTCAATTTATCTTGCCTGTTTCATCAATGGTATGGAACTTATAAAGAAAATAACATTGGACCAATTCATTAATTAATTACTTTTTAATTGACTGTTGTCACACTTTGTTTAACAACAAAAAAGGCGATCCGCATTGAAAGCCGTCGACGGTTTTCCGCGTTCGTGTTCGCGCTCTATTTGAATGACTGAACTGATGAAAAGTCGCGTTCGCGGTCGCGTTCGCGCCGGTCGCGTTCGCGTTCGCGCCGGTCGCGTTCGCGTTCGCGCCGGTCGCGTTCGCGCTCTGTATAAACCCACCTTAATGGGAGCTACTGTAATTTCAACAGATAACAGACATCAGACGAATAATTGGAATGCCCCAAACAGAAGTGAAAGGTGTCCCCGATACACAAAAACGGTCAGAAAACCTCTTTACAATCCCTTTAAACTGCAAAGAGATCCTCTTCGTGCCTGGATAAAAGAGATGCTTTAATATGAATGCAATAAGTTTATACTTCTGAACTTTTTAAAGTCAAGCTGTAGATCTAAGAACGATGTACGACAGCCATTTCAGGCGATTTTGTGATGAAATATCAGAACCGTTGACGGTATCGAGGCAGTGCGTATCTAAAACATTGGTGAAAAATGCATTTTAAAGGCATGGTGGGATTTTTTTATCGAAAAGAAAAGTATGTAACATTTGGTAGAAAAAGTCGGTAAACCATTTAACGTCCGGATCGCATTAATTTGATAACATTCGGTAGTAAAAAGTGTTAACATTCGGTAGTAAAAAGTTGTAAACCATTTAAACATTCTTGCAGCTAAACACGTACAAATTCTTGTAGATAAAAACTTAAGCACTGAATATAAAATAAAATTGTGACGTCCGCGTTCAAAATTGTGAATTGAAGGAATGAGTAAATCAAAGTTATGTCCCTTTAATGATGTGGGTGTGTAAAAACAAATGCACTTTGGATAATAAGGCGATCGTGAAGAAAATGTTTATTTGTCAGGCGGCTTCGGTGTTTGTTTTTGATGAATGTTACCACTGAAAAGGCCGATTCGCAAACATACGTACTGCCAAACTTTCTCTGCCACATGTTCCTTTAGTAACGGTACCATGATAATGATCATCTAGCCGTTGCTATCACAATCCCATCATCTCGTCATTAATTTTGATTGGTAGAAAGTATACTTCTCTACCAATTATATTCATTCAAACAACATTTTGAGGGAAATGTTTAAATAACCAGACGCAAAATTGCAAGTGCCAAATTGACTTTCTTTTAAATCTCAAAGTTCATGGTTGAGTTGTTGTCATAGTGCCTCCTCGAATAATATTCACATTTATTCCGAATGACCTGCGAATCAATGAATCAACAAAGCAAGTACAACTACACAAATGAGTTATGCCCCATCTCATTTCGTCGTTACCGGGAAAAATTCTCACCTGAAAACTTATTTAATTAATTAAATTAATTTATAATGAAAGGAAGCGTTAGAATTTTCCGAAATTTTTGATGAATATTAAGGACACTTGTGAGTACCTTTGTGTGAACTTTCACATCGATCACTGATCGACAAGTGGGTTGATCTGCAACAGTTTCCGATGATTCAATAAAAGCCGCCATTTTCAATCACCGTCCTTTTATTCCAAATATTACGCGATTCCTGATTGGTTTTATCGAATGGTGACGTATGGTCTGCCAAGGAAGGTTAATAGTCTCTAATGACAAGTATATGGGATTGTTTAAGCAACGGTTAGATGTCAATAATCATTGCTTTGAGTTTTGGATTTTGGATATTGAATATCGCTCATGGCAGCATGTGACTATATTGCAGTCATCGAGGCACCGACAGGCGACCATTTCTCAGAATGAATCACGATTTCCAAGAATCTGAGGCTATAGTTCCTACTGAACTGTACTGTACGACCCCACCAATGTGTTTGAGACCCGTTGAGTGTATGCTAGCGGCCGGGGCCTCAGCACCTGCAGGGATGAAGTTCTCATATTTAAAGAAGTCTGCCCTCCTTGACATTTATATTACAATCTCTTACTGTCTCGCTGGTAAATGCTATTTTATTTACCATTTAGATTTTCTTCACCATTACTTTATTTATGGCACTCATGTACCTTTTCTAGTTTCTGTCTAACTTTATTAACTCTTTCATCTCATTTTCTTGTTATTCTTTTATTTTCCATGACCTATATCTTTTTATTGTTTTGCAAATGACTATTTTTTTTGCAGTGCGTTCTTCGCATTGTTTTGCAAATGTTTTTTTTTTTGCTGTGCGTTCTTCGAACGCACTGCTTTGTTTTGCAAATGACTATTTTTTTTTTTTTTTTTTTTTTCGAATTTTACCTTCGCTTGTTTTCTAAGAAGGCAACATGCCACAGACTGTCTGTTGTTGTTTTCTGGTCAAAATAGTGGACAATTATTTGTTAAATGTAAATTGGCACTATTTTGACCAACAGGAAATGAGCCGTGGACAATGGCTCTTTTTCAATTTTTTCCATTAATCAGCTTTAATACTCGTCTGAATTTGCTCAAACTTTACTGTTTATTACTTCGCGCTAATGACTACAAGATAGCAATTGAAAAAATCGAAAAGTTTGACTTTTGTCACTGACTTTTTGAGTTCCAATTTTTGAGTTTTTTAACCTTTTTTCTAACTTCTGCAATTCTATTTCGATCAATCTGAAAACTTACAGAGTAATAGACACTTTCATTGCGAACATAAACAAATTTTCAAAATTTTGATATCACTTCCGGTTTTGACGCTATTCGCTTCTAAAATATAAAATTCAACTTCCGGAATTTTGAAGATATTTCAAAAATTCTTTTTGCAATATGTTACAAATAGACATACAAAAAAACTTCAAATCAAAAAATCCGACCCGGATGTAACAGAGTGGTCGCCATGTTGATATGTCATACTTCTGTAAAATTCAAAATGGGGCCTCAGGGTATAGAGCGCTTTTCATAATTTTGGTATATCTGGATATCACAATCGATTGCGAAAAGAAATTTGGAAGCCGATTTTTGAATTTCGATTCTGCTTTTCTTTTATTTCCGGTTAAAATTTTTCGGTAATGTCCAAAATTTCAAAGGCTCCTATTTCGTGACCTTGACCTTTTGTTACCTTGTGGCCTGAACAAAATTTGTTGCTCTTGATGAAATCTATCCAGTGATATACTCTTTTGTGCTGTGCAATGTTTACTTCCGGTTTTATAGCAGATTGAAAATTACGATTTTTATCTTCAAAGAGCTCTGACACGTGACCTAATTTACATACACCAAAAATTCTTATTGAATTTTACTAGTGTTCATCTGCCCTTTGTAATGATATATAACACTAGATATTTCAATCAAAATTGCGCTTTTTAATATTTGAAAATTTTGTACTTTCTTCTATAGTGACTGTGCGTAATTTTCAATAAATCGAAATGGAGCCTCAGGGTGTAATCCAATTTGTGTAAATTTGATATCTATGGTATCTACTATCGATTGCTAAATAATATATGAGAACCGATTTTTGAATTTTGATTTTGCTTTTTATTTATTTCCGGTTGAAAAATATGAATACTTTAAAGGGTCGTATATCGGGACCTTGACATTTGGTGATCATGTGTCCAGAACTATTTTGATAGCTCTCGACGAGATCTTTCCAATGGTATATTAACGTTTATTGTACGGTGTTTACTTCCGATTTTATCGCCATTTGAAATTGATGAATTTTATCTTGAAAAAGTCGGTTTTCTGCTTGTAAGTTTTTTGTGTGGTCTAAACGATAAAGGTAGTTTGCTCCCTTCAACTGTTGTTGAATGCAATGTGAGTTGAAGCGATCTGTCGAATATGCTTTGCGTTTGGGCGATGTATATCCATTTAATTATGATAGGAAATTATGTTACTGTTACGATACTTTGCGGCACAGTTTTAAGCGTAAAATCAAAACTGTTACACACTGCATCAGAACCTCGCGAAGCCTGTGGATCTAGTTATCTTATTTTCTTGTTCATCTAACTAATTTGAATGTACTTTTGATTTTTTTATTCGCTTGATAAAGGGATTAGTCCCCAATCGTAGCCACATTTACTCTAATTGTATCGATTTTTTACCTACTGTTTGCATGTTATTGTGTTATTTATTACAAGTCGACTCGAAGTTCTATTTGTTATATCTTTAGCTATTAGTTCGTAATAATGTACAAAAGAAACGGAATTATAATCTATTAAGAATTAGAGCAGTAAATTGGAAAAAAAAGTTAATAAATTGATAACGTCCTACGTCATTTCTGTTTGGGCAAAAATTGGGCCTCATATTACATTCACCTAAGAACGACGCACAATTTATCAGACAAAATGATGTCAGATTATTTGTGGCATATGTAATTTTGGCTAGGTAGCGTGACCAGATTCGGGAAAAAAAATTAATGCTCTTTTTCAGTTTTCTCCAGAAACCTTTCCCTAACAGGTTAGGTCAAATACAAAAAATTTTAAGGTTATTGAAGACTTATGTCTTATTTAACCGAAAATTTTAAAAGGTCAAATTCGAAATTTGGAGGCCCCATTTTAAGTTTTTTCTAGGTTGGATTTTTTCATATTTCTTTCTTTGGGTCGCATATACGGATATAGAACAGGAATAGATTTTAGAATGTCTTAAAGCGTATAGAATATAAATTAAAACTGCACAAAACACGCACAATTACTAAAGAACAAAGCACAAGATTATCAAATTTTTAAAACTTTTGATTTAAATATTTAGTGTCATATATCATTGGAAAGAAAAGATTGAGTGTAATAACAATTTTCAAATGGCTATAAAACCAGAAGTAAACATCATAAAACAACAGTGAATATATCATTAAATAGTTTTTTTTAGACAGGGGAATTGGCCTTCCGTAATTTGAATTTTACAAAAAGGTCAATATAGATCAGATTTTATTATTCTAATATCTTTAAATGCACAATTCTACCTCATTGAAAAATTCTGGAAGTTGAAATATCATTTTCAAAACCGGAAGTAATATTAATATTTTGAAAATTCATTTTATAGTCCTTAATTTAGATGTATATCAACCTGTCAGCGACAAAAGTGTAAATTTTAGGTTTCGCAGTTAAAAACTTTGTTATATATCGTTAGAAAAAATACAAAAAGTTCATTTAGAATCAGAAAACATTAACCATTTAGGCGATTTAGGTCTCGTGTTAGAGCAGTCCAGAGTTGCATATTTCGTTGTTTTTGGACAGTCATTTAACCGGAAGTAAACGTTGAAGGTCAAATATAAAAGTATCATCTAATAGCCAATTTCAATGACATTTAACTCAAGTCAAAAAAGTCAAGGTCACCAGATATTAGTCTTCAAACTTTGAAAATTTTTAACCGGATATTTCAAAAAGGAAAAAAGCAATTCAACAGTCGACTTCCTTCATTTTTCTTCAATATTTATGTTCTTTCATTCGGATAGGCCACTATCTTTGAATAAAATTTTGACTTATTTCAGGAAAACCAAAAATGGCGGCCAAAGTATCAATTTTCATAGCGATAATTTTTAGTGACATTCATACATAAAACAGGAAGATGGTCTAACGGAAGTTTGTACCTTGATTTCGTGAAAACCGGAAGTGGTGCCAAGTTTTTGACTATGTCAATTTATTTTCTGTTATGATCTGTTTAAGCACCAGAAATTTCAAAGCAATCGGACAAATAGCTGAATTCTACTAAAAAATGTGTGCTATGAACTTCTAAATTAAAAAACTTTTTAGCTGCTATCATATTGGATATTCTTGTGAAATCCCAAAATGGAAACCCGGGCGAAAAAAAGGTTCCTTCTAGAGCCAATTTTGTAATGTTTGCACATTTTGCACCGAGCCACTATCCGTTTTGCAAATATGTTCCGATTTATATTCTCTAATGACTCTCCATCTGATCTTAATGATCTTGAAAGAGTTACCTGGTTTGACGATTCGGGTGATTTCATATAAAGCATTACACGGCATTAAACTTTGTGAGAATCCACCAGATACAACAGAACAGTCATATTTATCTGAAGAAAAAGAAAAATTTAACCAGATTTTATACACCCACTTAGTAATTTGGACGTAGATTGCCGTCACTCTTGTCATTCCGTGTGTAAGATTTATCCACAAAGATCCCAAAAGATCCCAATTCGTATTTGGTTACGGTTTGACTTACACTAATACTTTGAGTGAGAGAGGTTGCAACAATATATAATTCGAGAAACGAAAGCAGAGGTCGGAGACAATACGATCTCATAAGATGATCCAAATTAACAATTGATCATATAAAATTGTTTCAACGTTCAAAAAGTTTATACGATAACAGAATTGCCACGGCTGACCGCAAGTTCTGATAGGATCACAACAATTCAGACCAGGATTTAAATAGTGTCACCAAGTTTGATAGTTTAAACCTAGTACAAAAGTTCAAGAAAACATGATCCATGGTTATTCGGAACCTAATAGTGGATCGTTTCAGATCGAGACTCAATCGTGAACTTAAGCTAAACAATCCAATGATTGTATGTACTAAATATCAGATCCTAGCACATTAAATTGACAAATCTTGTACAGATCGAACGAAATTGCCAATCGTGGCGTTAGGAAGGTATCATATGCGTTTTAACTATAAATAACATGTAATGTATCGCAGTACCTGTTTCTAGAACAGTTTTATGGCCATCAACAAAGTCAACCACATAATCTCGGTATATATTTTTCTTCATAGCCTCATCTTTCATACCTTGACTTGGATCTATACCATCTATAATACTAAATCCCAACTTTAACAACTACAAACAGTCATACAATTAGAATAAAATAAGAAAATAATCACAAATATTGTCTTCGTAGCATGGATATGACATTTTTAAATTATCAATTAAAAGGAAAAAATTGCGGTTGTCGACTCAATTGTTAGTCAAATGTAGTGTAATTCAACACATTTTGTGGAACCAAATGAATCTAATTCAATATCATGCTTTGCACATTCCTTTGATTATTGATGCTCCTATAATTGCAGTCACCCATGTTAATCCGATCACCAACGTTTTAAATGGACTCCAAAGGTTTGGATGAAAAGAAGAAGGCCGATATCAACGATAAATTGGTCTTGCTCGACACTACAAAAACGTTTTCCAAGTTCGTCCCATATTGATAATTGTGAAGATGAGTAGAGATTGCACATATTTTTATCTCGATGGAATAGAAAATTACATTCCATGTCAACTAATTCTTACCGCTTGAGAAGCTAACCCTGTTCCTGCAGCTATATCTATAACACTCACAACATCCTTGTTGGTTGAGAAATGATCTGAGGCTGCCCTTGTAACAATATCCACGCCTTTATTACCAATAAAACTCATATCCTAAAACATAAGAATTCATTTCTAACCTGCGTAACATAACTTATCGACTAAACAATCAGATTAAAAGTTATATACCAACAAGCTGTTGTTTTAGGTAATGATAAGCTACTAGAAAATAGTAAAACAAATGATATGCTCACACTAATTCGTGAGAATTTAAAAGCATACTTCAATTAGAACTGTGTTAAAATTATTTCTTCTTTTGTGCACAGATTTATCAATTTTTGTTATCATTGCGATGTTCCTTAAAGCTATCATGAACTTATTTGGCTAAATTAATTATTAAAAAATATTTAGTTTAGACGTTCGCCATTGGACCGCCATATTTATTACTGTCAGCCTTTTTGAAGAAATATGATCGCAACAAACCAACTGTAAAACCAAAGTAAGACACGCCCATCAAATTAGCTGTCGAGCTATCAACATCGATTCCACTAAACTGAAACCCACTCGTAAGCCGCTGACAGAGTACCTGGAAACCAACGGCATACCACTCTTTCCCATCTTTTCTCACATTCTTTTTTTCAGGTTTCTAGTTTTCCAACAGTTATTAGATAATTTAAACCAAACCAAACCAAACCAACGACTACCATTCGACTACCAGTCAACAAGAAATACCATGATCAGAACGAGTTTGGAAGAATGAAGGAGATCACACCATCCAGGGCCGAGCTTCACCGCCATGTCATTCGACCCGACCAGATCTAACGAAGAATCAACAACCAAACCAACAACAAAGAATCATCCAATTTGAATCAATCCAACTACCAACTATTACGACTACCAACAACTACCTAGTTTGCGATATCAGCATCCGCTGGAAGCGAACGTTAACTTGTCATCTACAAACCAACCATAATATCGATTATCACCACTCAAAGTGAAACCAGCCAACCTTGAATCTAGCCAACCTTGACTTTGATATCCATACAAACAAAAGTGGTCAGATAAAATTTCAAGATATTAGGCTAAACAAAACAAGGATTATTCTTTAAAAAATATTATTTTAGATGATAGTACCAGTAGACCTATATTAAAAAACCATATTCATGCTCGTCAAATTTTGCCAATTGCCTTTCACTATGTATTGTTACATAGGCCACACGTTTCAATTGCTTATAGTACTATAACCTAATGTTTTTTACATCATAAAAATATATGAAAGACAAGGCACATTTTGCTTGAGTAATGAAAAGAGTGTAAACCAATTCCAAATTTCCACTTGAATAACTTGCATAGAGTGTAAGTAATTTAACCACATAACTAGTGATATGTATACGAAATGTACAAGCCTAATTTTAGCGATACATTTAAAATATTGGGAACATATTTTATCCTATGTATACATAAGAATGGTAATCTTGTGAAACCTAGACATATTTCATACACTATTTTTCCTAGTTGTTTTCATTCGATGTCATTGATATAATAATCCTAGAGAAAAGCAAAGGTATGAATGCTTTTTTGTTGGCTGTACATAGCTACAATGCAGTGTGTTTAAAGGGGAACGGTCAGCATTTTCGGGATTGATTTGGGTCTTTATCATGCTTTAATAGTTTTAAGAAGTACTTAAAAGCACGAAATCACATAATCCCTTCAAATATACCTCAAACTAGAAATTTCACTGTCTATTCCTATTTGTGTTTTCTATATATGATACAGTCGCACTAAAATTGAGTTGAATTGTTCAATTTCAAACGTGAATAATTATGGATACACATGGATTTGAAGGCTCAAATTTCGATAATGAACGGTGAACACTATTACTGATTATGTACGCTAAAAAGTTTCAGATAATGAGGGTGCCTTTAAATACGAAATTTAAGTTTAGAAAAAATGTAGGATTTTACTTTTCCTTACCTGTGCCTTCATTTATATTGTTTTGAAGGATAAGGTTGGTAAGTTTCAGGGTGAGTTGGTTTTATTATGAGCTGCGATTATCGATGTTGACTGTCCAAAGTATAGTTACGGCGTGACCACAATATAATGTGGGCGTATGAAAATGATATGATCCTATCAGGACCAAAACAATCCATGGAGAAACCATAAGCAAATTTAGAACGTCCGATTCGTCCCGCCGTCATTATCCATTAACAATTGGAGGCGAATAAAAACGACAATCGGGCCAATCAAGGAACAAAGGGGACAACTGAAAAACAATACTTCAATTCTTAGTGAAATCGGGGTATTAGTGTCTTTATTTTCGCCAAGACAAGATCTATCGGATTGCACGACAGAGCCACGAAATAGCCTCGTTCTATCGTGACAATGTTTCAGAAATGTTGGGACCAACTGAAAAAGAAAATGCTTCGAGATATATATAAAAAACAATAATTTGATTGTCTTCGGAATTGCAATTTTCCAATTATCATTTTGTTTGAAATATCAGCTCCAAAAGAAGTCATGGCTTGTTTAGATGGTCTTCGGGTTAAAGTTCTCATTAGACAAAATTCCACGTAGTGTTTGGTGAATTAACGATAACCGCCCTGCGCAAAAATAATATGTTTTGACATGTTTTGTGGGCGTGGAAATAAGATTGGTGCTATTTGCATCTGAACAATCAGATCGCTGTTGATGGAGAACGGAAATGAGGTCAGGTAAAAAAATCACGACATCGCTCTGCCGCCGCCCGTTTGAAGAGATACGAACATATTCTTCTAAGTAAATATTCCAAAGAATGGTTTATTTTTCTCCTGGCTTTAATTCTTTACCGAAAATCTTACTCAATTACTTATCGTATATTCATCAAAATATTTAATGGACGCTGCTTTCGTTTTGTTTACTTTACAAACAAAACGCGTCCATTACTCGAGTAATTTGTTTTGATTGGCTAAAATTTTGCTACCAAGACAGCATGGGCCATTTTGATTGGACGATTTTTAGCTATGAATACGTAATTTTTCCCACTTGTATAACCACGGTCTCGAGGTAAGACGAATGGGGGCGCGGTTTGAACACGATGATTATGTAGATGCTATGTATTCTGGTAAGGGAGAATTAATATACAGGTTCTCAACTATGGCCAACATAATCAACTGCGTGTGGATATTACAACCGCTACTCACCCACCCCGTGGCTTTTGAATTGAATCCGTCTGTTGTACACAAGTATTAAAAAATCCCAAAAACCAATAGAATGTCTTCTGCTTCATAATTACATTAATTACACATTTCCTTGCCAGAAAGTATACACTTAAACGATCTTGTCTTCTATAAAATCAAACAATCAAATAATTGTTTTACACATTGATTGAATTGAATTAAAGGAACATGTTCGCCAAAAGTAAGAGAAATGTACAACAATCGCATAATTCCTTCAAAAGTATATACCTCAAACTAGGAATTTCACTTTCTAATTCTATACACATGCAAGTATGTCTTTTCTCAGGAAAATACAAGTCGTCATTGTAATTTCAAACGCGGATAATTTTAGACACAAATTTCGACCTGTTTCTGAGACTAAGGTACGATTGGTTAAACGGATGGTGAATCTGTCTCTTTAAGACAAAATTATTGTGGCGCTTTCAATTATTTATTCTAAAATTGTTTTGTTGAATTCTCTTTAGAATCCACAGTGGTCGGATAATTAGACCTACCAATATAAGAAACAATATAAAAACATAATGCTAAGTATAGAAATACAGGTACAGATACTTCTGGTAATTCTAAATAATCTCAATACCTTTTCATATTTTCCATCTTTAGCCCACTGGTCAAAAACAGCAACAAGTTCATCTCTTTTCATCTGTTTCCTTTCTTCAAAAGCAGTCTTCAAACTAAACGAGTCTGTACTTGAATCTCCCATGATGATCCTTTCAGTCTAGTAAAATATTTAACATTCATTAGGAATATAATCAATAAAATTAACTAAGACTGTGGACGGCTCCGAGCCTGGCACGAGAACTTTTCTCTTGACTTTAGGACCTTGGAACTTATTGCCTTCAAGCTTTCGTATTTGGTAAATAAATAAAGTACATTATTACACTGGAGAAATGTCACTTCAAAACTTTCAAAGGGTACGGATAAATAGAGAACAGCGGTTACTCAATAAAATCCATTTGTAAGGTTATTTTAGTCTCTGGATAGGCATGGCAATAGAATTCGAATCATTTTATAGGGGAAATATACTTCAATAACGTGACTTTTATCCCCAAATACGAAACTATTGCTTTTGTTTATTGGGACCTCAAACCTTCATTCTACTAATCGCAAAAATTAGCGATGTCATAAAACACTTTAATTTTAATTTACAAAACCTCTTTACAATCCTTTTATGTTTATAACTCATTCTACTAAAATTGTGGAACAATTGAGTGTTTCATACTCAGGAAATCATCCTTTTAACACCAATAATAGATTTCATGATTTAAATGTTATATTAAGCCACTCATGTCACAATAAAAAAAATAAAATAAAGGGCACATCTATGTGGAATTTTGGCAAATTCTACTTGGGTTGTTCGAATTATTTATTATAAATAATCAACCCAAAGTGACATCCAGAAATAGGCATTTAACAAGCGCAAATACAAAATTTCTTTCTGCATTGTAAATTTCAGAGAACAAATTTGTGGTCAAATACGTATATAGGAATACGTGGCGTCTGTTGCTGGCCTGTCTACACTTTGTAAACATGATTTAAGGTTCAAATTTTGAACTTACTGAAATCGACCAAATTTTGAAATTCATGCATAGAATAACATAACCTCTCTAAAGTCCATCAATGGTAACATCTTGTAGTCATCTTTATTTATCGGAAACTTTTATGGCAAAGTTTCATTTCACATTCATAAACCAATTTTGACGTATGTAGACTAATATGTATCCGTTCATGTGTGAAGGAAGATCGATAGCAAGTATTTTGAAAGTCAATATTCCGCGTTTCATTGATTATGAATTCCATCCAACTTTTGAATGACAACGACGGTAGAACTTTTCTGAAACCAAGAGGTGCACCAGAACATTTAAATTTAAATCATACAGCTCTAATTGGATACTTCTTAGCAGTGAAATAATATTAACTCGTAAATGTTAGATAAAATCCTACAGCTTACCGTTTCAAACGCTATGAGATATCCACTCTGAAAATTGGGTCAATAGTTTTTTTTTTCACTTTAGAAAATATTGTTCTTTATTATATAAAAATATATCATTTATCAAGGTACATACACACGGGAAATATATATACAAGATATACCGCGTTTGTTTAGCTAGTAGGCTATATTGTAACTTGATAACGGTGAAGAAACCATTGAATTCAATGTAGGAATATGATACTGATCTGATAGCTTACCGATACATCATTTCTATTTACTCATTTTGACTTTAATTGTTTAATTATTGCAATGTTCTGTTTTATTTTCTCGTTATCTTTTGATATGAACTGTTGATAACTATTCAGATTATCAGATGACAGAAACTCGGTGAAATCCCGAAAATAAATTATTGATATTGCATGTTTCATTTCACAATATTTGTATCGTAAAAAGTAAATTCAAATTTGGAGAATTGGTTTAAACAATATTTTATTTCTATATTAAATTAAATTTTTACAGAAAATAAGTAAGGTTTCGGAAACAAGCCGAAGCTTATGCTAATCCGGCACCTAATACAATGAAAAGACGCAATACAGGAAATATGATATTCGTAAATAAATAAATGGTTATCAATATTTAGTAATTTGATAATAGAAAACAATTAATTATATATATTTAAATATATAAATGAAAACGTGCGAAAGTGCATAGGTGTCCACACCAGACAGGGGTCGTCCGCCCACGAAGCTGCAGACAAAGATAGTCAGGGAGAATTTGGAGAATTATGGTTTGAACTTACATTAGGCCTCCAATTTGAGAATTTGATAAGCAGGATCTATGCTAGACCTTCGGACATTACTCCTAGGCCTCTCGCCAATTTCTTTTCATGGCCCAGGTCAGTATGATTATCTTATCGTACGTAATGAAACCATCTCTTACTTACTATCAGTCAACCTACTGACTACTATGTCCACTGTGCTAAGCCCTGGTAGCAAAAGGGCTATACAATTTAGCCTAACCTAGATATGAGTCATGATGAAAGGTCACACACTATAAAGCTAAACTCGTCTAAATTGACACTGAAGGTCGATACCGACGGGTCGCAACCTTGTAACATTGTCACCAATCTGATTAAAATTAGATATAATTTCGTACTTCTTTTATTCTAATATATTTCGTCTGTATTGTCACTATACTGATTGTCAACACCAATCATTTTAATATTAATACAATATCACCTTAGCGGTTTCTGAACATATGACAAACTATAAATGAAAGTAAGCCAAATTCTCAGTTGAAATTGCATAACATTTTTTTTTAAACAATATTTATTCAAGAATTACAAATATTACATACATATATATAAACATATGGTTTTGGAAACAAGCTTTAAAAGCTTATATAAATCCATTACCATTCAAAATAAATACAATACGATACAATACAAAGTAGGGAAAAATTTACAAACTATTTACACTAAATGAAGTTCTCTTAACTGTATCAAGGTTGTAAAACAGCAGATAGGGTTCAGTATATTTAATTGTATGGATGAAATAAAATATGTTTGTTGGGGGTTTGGCTCATCGAGGTTTCGGTAATCGGCATGGCCCCACAGCGACCCTGGTCGATCGAGGCTAATATAGCGAACTGGAATATCTTACGAAGATAAACAGGTGAAGGTAAGGGCTAGATCAACAGTTTGGCATGAGTAAGTGATGAGTAAGATAAAATACTAGGTAAGACAGAATAGAATGAACCATAAGTAAGCTTCAATAGAACTAGCACAAATTAGGTAAGTATCAATAGAATAAGCAATAAATCAGGTAAGCCTCAAACGAACGAACCATAGATCTATAGAGATCAGGTTTACCTCAGTAGAGCGAACCATATATCGGGTATGACTCAATAGTACGAGTAATGGATCAGACAAATCAGGACTTTTAATAGACCATCAATAGGACGAACAATGAATCAAGTTAGGACTCAGGTAATCCCGGATAAAACGAACAATAGATCAGGTAATCCTGAATAGAACGAACCATAGATTAGGTAATCCTGAATAAAACGAACAATACATCAGGTATGCCTCAATAGAACGAACAATAGATCACGTAGGACACAATAGGACGAACAATAGATCAGGTTATCCTGAATTAAACGAACAATACATCAAATCATAAACCTGAATAAAACGAACAATACATCAGATATGTCTCAATAGCAAAAAAAAATAGATCAGGTAATCCTAAATAAAACGAACAATGGGTCAGAACAGCATTCAGCAACTGTTAACTCGGATAGATCTGGTTATAATGAATATAATAAAGACCTAAAGACGCAATGAAGCAGATGTGGTTAAAACGATGCGTTAGTTTAATATATGCATGGACAATGCTAATGATAGTGGTGTTCTCTTTAAGACTAAGATCTGGGGATCCCCGTAGGAGTAACTTAGTGTCTAGAAAATGCACGGGGAGAGTATGAAGCGTCTTGGAACTTTGAGTATGGTAACGTGGACAGTAAAGAAAGAAGTGATCATCATTTTCAAAGGAGTGGCCCCATGGACATGATGGATCTTGTAAAGTGTCGAGTAAACATGTGGCAATGGAGTTCACTCATACTGTTTCTGACTCTACAATGAATTATTTCTAATGCTCTGTCTCCAAGGTAGAAGTAACTGGGCATCTGAGTATCTTTAGCTTTTAACTGTTGTTTAAATGATTGAATGGATGTAACCGTTTCCATGTACTCAGGGAGATTATTCCAATCACGAATTGTTGATGGAAGAAAGGATTCCTGGAAAAGGGTACTCTGGCAGAATGTTGATCTTAGTTGATCCTGGTTGCGGATGTTGTAGGTATGAATGTCGCCAGTGTGGCGGGGCACTAATATATTGGTGGTGTATCATCTTGTAGAAGAGAGCGAGTTTGTGCCGATAGCGCCTGGTTTTCAATGGTAAAAAGCCAGTTTCTTTATATAGAATCTTGTGGGATGTACCCCGTGTCAGGCCTGAGATGGTTCGCAATGCGTCAAGTTGAAGATTTTCGAGGCGTTCAGCATCCCGAAGTGAGCAATTGTCCCAAACGACATCATTAAAGTCAAAGTGGTAGGATAAATGACTTATATAGCTTTTCCAAATGATTTTCGAGAAAGGCGATATTTCAGTGACCGTAAGCAGTCGATGGATTTTCTTGTTTTAGAAATGATGTGATCGATGTGTTTGTTCCACTGAAAATTATACCTAAATGCTTATGCTCGTCAGAATCAAAGATTGAGGTGCTATTGAAAAAGAGGGAGAAATTTGATGGATTAGTCTTTTTGCTGAACAAAAAACGACGTTCCATGTTTTGGCCCAGTGATTGACAAGATAGGGGGTCATGAATTACCATGCACATTGAGGTGTCATCGGCGAACAATTTAAGGTGTGATTTTATATCTTCTGCTTGTCATTTATATATAGGAGGAAAAGTAGTGGACCTAGAATTGAACCCTGAGGCACTCCGTTGGGTACGATGATTTCAGTTTATGATTGACCTTTTATTTGAAATAATTGTCTGCGATCCGAGAGGAAGTCTTTAATGAGAACTAGAAGATTCCCGGTAATCCCAATGACCTGGTGTTTACATATAAGCCCTTCATGCCAGACACGATCGAATGCCGTACTTATATCGAAGAAGATGGCCTTAGTTTCGAGTCCTTTATCAAGGTTGCCACATATCTTATGATAGATATCAACAAGTTGGTAAGTGCAGCTATCTCCGCTCCTAAAGCCAGATTGCACAGAGACAATTTTGTTATTTGAGACAAGGAAGTTGTTGAGGTATTTGTACCTGCATTTTTCAAAGACTTTTTCAAGACAGCTCAACAAGGATATTGGTCTATAATTGGAGCAGGAATGTCGGTCGCCCTTCATGTAAATTGGGGTAACGTCGGTCCGTTTCCAAATCAGTGGAAAACACTGAGAGGTTTGGAGAGAATTGAATAGGTAAGACAATGGAGAGTACAGAAATTTACAGCACAGTTTTAGAATGGTATTATTTATATGGTCACTACCACAGGCCTTGCTTGTATCAAGGGAGATCAAGATATCATAAACATCACTTGGAGTGTATAATTTGGCGAGGGGTTTTGGATTAATGTCACCTCGTGTGATAGGCACTCCTATGCATTTGAACCTCAATTACCAGGGAGTCTGTATCTTCAATTCCCGAAATTCTGATACCCTCGCGTCTTCCATATTGTTCCAACTCGCCATATTTATCTTGCAACTCAGACAATTGGTCAGATTTCTGATGGAGGTCATCCTCTAGTTTAACAACTTTTGTTTCTAGTTGGGTGATTGTCTCTTTAAGTTGGGGGCTTATTATTTTTGCCAAGGCATTGGCTATTATGTAGGTAACCCTATCATCTTGTAAAGCAGATAGTAATTGGTTTATTATAGGTCCTACCTCCATATCTCCAGTTTCGTTCTCAAACTCTCCAATTTTATTTTTCTTCGATTCGGCATCACTCACTCGGGATGAAGATCCAATACGTTTTCTGATTCCATCAAATGACATCATATTCATTATATTTGTGGTATACTGATGTACTGTTGCAGCTACAGGTTGTTGAAGAAGACAGGTATACGAGGCGAGACTCAGTCAGTCGTTGTCAACATAGACATACGTGTGCACGGGTGTGTTGAGAATCAATCAGCGCCCCTAGTTACTCCAGAGTTAACACATAAATAACATCCAACAAGGCAAAGTTATAAACTACACTATTAACACATATTTTAAATTTAATCAGTTCATTTACAATTTAGCTACTTAAACTTGAGAAAGAAGCGGCATAGCCCCACTTTTGAAAAAGGTTTTCAGAGACGATCAATACATGACTTGTCGTCTGACGCCATCTTAGTTTTTTGAATGTATTTTGTTTTTTGATTAATATAAGCTTCGGCTTGTTTTCATATCCCGTTATTTGTATATTATGTAAAGTTATTGTACCGAATTATTATTGAAATAAATATTGTTTAAATCATCACTTGGAGTGTAGATAGGTTCTTCGATTTCGATAATGCTTGGTGTTAGTGTAGGTGGGGTTAGATTTGGGTTGGGTAGTTTGGATTGACTTATAAAGTGCTGGTTGAGTGCTTCGGCCTTTTTAAGGTCGTCATCGATAATGCCGTTTTTTGGGTTAGATATGTTTCAATGCAAAAGATTTGACTAACTTCCACCAGTATTTTTCGTTGAATTTGCACTCATTTATATGGTATTCCAACTTGACTCGCAGAATTTCGGATGTGACAAAATTTCTGAACTTTCGGAACTCAGATCATGCACGGCTCAAAAATTAACGTCTTAATGCGCGGTTGATTTTTTTTTTCTGTAACCGTACAGGTCTAATGAAGATACGGCTATAATATAAATCTACGTTGTTATATAATATTCAGTAGCCCCAGGCTGTTCAATCTTTGGCTTTAAAGATTAAATCTTACTTAAGTGATTGTTAATCGGAAAATGATCACAACTACTTAACTAAAGTAGGGTTTACACACGCAACTTTATTCTTTCAACCTTGCTCAACTTTTTGTAAACACACACCGACAAGTTGAAAGAGGTTGCCTGTCTAAACATGTTCTGAAACCTTTTTCAACGTCCTTGCTACAACCTCTTTCAACCAGCAACCAGATCACATACTGGAAACAAAAATTTGAAAGAGGTTGCCTTTCTAAACATGTTCTGCAACCGCTTTCAACCAGCAACAAAATAGGTTTCAGAAGCTAAATTTTGTTGAGGTTGGCCAAGGTTTTTATTGGCTATAGGCATTGTAGGCATCGCCTTTGCATTGTAGGCATCGCCTTCGCATTGTAGGCATCGCTTCAGTATTGCAGGCATCGCTTCTGCATTGTAGGCATCGCTTCAGTATTGTAGGCATCGCTCCCGCATTGCAGGCATCGCTTCCGCATTGTAGGTAACCCTACACATTCACACTAATCTAAACGGGCCTCTGCATTCAGAAAGCTATAAACTGAGGTGAAGAATTCACACTTGCCCACGATTAGCTCTATTCCAGCTAAGGGAAACCTGTTAGGCCAGTACACACCAGATCAAGTGCGTTTGTTTGTATCTGATGATCCTGCTGTGTTGGTTGCCCAGTTGTGTTAACCCAATGACTTGATGGCTAATCAATCTTCATCCATTTTTATACGCTCACATGAATATGTGGTCGTATTTTGTCGTCGCCCCTGTCCGTCGGTCCGTCCGTCAACATTTCTTGTGAGCACTATAGAGACTACAATTTTTATCTGATTTTGATAAAACTTGGTGTGATGCTTTAGATTGATAAGATCTCGGTCAAGTTCGAATTTGACATATTTTCGATGAACGGTTTTTGAGACATTGCCCTTGACTTAGAATGCCTTGAAATTTGTTAAAAATTGTTCGTGAGATTCTGATGAAACTTGATGTGATCATTGGAATTCATAAGATCTCGGACAAGTTCTAACTTGACGCATTTTCGATGAACGGTTTTTGAGTTATTGCCCTTGACTTTGTTAAAACGCGTCGAAATTTGTTAAAAATAGTTCGTGAGCAGGATTGAAGCTACAGTTTTCAACCGAATCTGATGAAACTTGGTGAACGGTTTTTGAGTTATTGCCCTTGACTTTGTTAAAACGTGTTGAAATTTGTTAAAAATAGTTTGTGAGCAGGATTGACGCTACAGGTTTCAACCGATTCTGATGAAACTTGGTGTGATCATTGGAATTGATAAGATCTCGGACAAGTTCTAATTTTACGCATTTTCAATGAACGGTTTTTGAGTTATTGCTCTTGACTTTGTAAAAACGCGTCCAAATTTGTAAAAAATAGTTCGTGAGCAGGATTGACGCTACAGTTTTCAACCGATTCTGATGAAACTTGGTGTGATCATTGGAATTGATAAGATCTTGGACAAGTTCTAATTTGACGCATTTTCGATGAACGGTTTTTGAGCTATTGCCCTTGACTTTGTAAAAACGCGTCAATATTTGTTAAAAATAGTTCGTGAGCAAGATTGAAGCTACAGTTCTCAACCGATTCTGATGAAACTTGGTGTGATCATTGGAATTGATAAGATCTCGGACAAGTTCTAACTTGATGCATTTTCGATGAACGTTTTTTGAGTTATTGCCCTTGACGTTGTAAAAACGCGTCAACATTTGTTCGTGAGCGCAATAGAAGCTACAGTTTTCAACCGATTTCGATGAAACTTGGTGTGATCATTGAAATTGATAAGATTTCGAACAAGTTCTAACTTGACGCATTTTTGATGAAATGTTTTTGAGTTAATGCCATTAACTTACGAAAAACGCGTCAAAATTTGTTTGTGAGCACAATAGAAGCTACAGTTTTCAACCGATTCTGATGAAACTTGGTGTGATCATTGGAATTGAAAAGATCTCAGACAAGTTCTAACAAGAGATATTTTTGATGAACATTTTTTGCGTTATTGCCGTTGACTTTGTAAACACGCGTCAAAAGTTGTTTTTTGCCCTTGATTAGAGCTGTGTGATTTAATTGTTTGTTGTATTTGGGTTATTGATATTGATTTTAAAAAATTTTGTGGAATTATTCAGCATAAATAATTTCTTCAATATGATAAAATTCGTACTTTAGTCACTAAAGACTGTTTTATTATTTCTGACAGCTGCCAGTGGGCGTATGTTACCTTGCAACGCAAGCTATCTTTGTACCTTTTTGGGGAACTTTTTGATTTTGATGGTGTTTAATGGTCTTAATAAGCCAAAATTCTACTAGATGTGTAGGTGATCCGGCTTCGAGTCTCTCAATGCGATTATTGACAATGGGCCCTATGACGCCATATTCTGATCTATCAATTTTATTACCATCAACAAAATTTATGTATAAAAAGTTGAAAAGCGATATCTATGCTCACACAATCATGAAGAAGGTTGCCATGTGTGCAAATCACAAGTAGGCTGAGGGTTGAAAGAAGTTGCAGATAAAAAGGTTGCCCGTGTAATCCCATCTTAACAAGAAGTGAGATTATTCCATATGAGCTTGAAACGGCAAGCGATATCAAGTTTTTGATGAAACGTAATGGCAGTGGCTATTTACCACTGGCGTGGTAAGCGTGGTAAATAGTCAGAAGTACCCCTACAGCTATTTACCACGGCGTGGTAACTTGTTAAATTAGGCCAATGTCACCATGTTAGTCTATGGAGACAAAACGTGGTAACTAAATTTTACCACGTTTTTTTTTCTTTGGTGGATTTCATCCAACTTTTTTTCAAATTTTAAAAAATCACACTTTTTAGGTTTCAAAAATATAAATATTGTGAACATTTCACGTTGTTAACACACTAAAATAAGCATTTTGATATCTCTAGCGAAGAAAAATCTCCGCCATATTTAATATCGGTGACTATGGATTTCGGTCATTTTGGATGCTAAATTTCACAGTCTAAAAATTTCTGCAATCGCTATGTGATGTGAACCATAATGATCATACTTCGGTATTGCGTGCATTTTCAGCTGTCTAGTAGTCTGCAATTTGTTTATATATACATTTTAAAGCTATGCTTTTGACAGACTTTTATTGAATTTTTAATTTCCAAGCTATAATATTGTCTATTCCTGGTTCCCAGGCTATTGTAGGAGAAGAGTTTCAGGATTTCTGGTGCCCTTCAACACGACGAACCTCGACACTTTAGTCATCAAAACTTAATATGATATGAGTAGGATTTCTCGACACTGTTCCTATATTTGGGCTTTTGGTGCAAGGAAAACCACAAAGCCCAATCCTACTGAGCATCTAATTGCTTACTTGATTAGTATATTATCATAGAAGTGATTATTATTAATGAAAAATCAATAAAATTATAAATTTACAATGTTTTGATTGTTATGAGGCATTGCTCTTGTCTTTCGAAATGCGTTCAGTCTGTAGCTTGTAAATACTCGAGAACTTATCGCCAGCCCTATGAAAATAAAACAATTTAAGAAATGTTTGATATGAGTTATTGCCCTTGTTCTTGGAAACGTGTAGAATGCACAATTTGGACAAAACTGGTAAAATTGTTTATTATCAACTAACGATGAACTCTATCACAATATAACTTGTTCTTTAGCTAGTAAACACTGAAGACGGCACAATTATTGATAAATTTAGATAAATTTAGATACAACTTTACAACTATACAACGTTGAAAAAATATCTTAGACTCGACCGACTCACTCTTTTGAGCTAACCGAATTGTTTGTTTCCAGATGTCAGAAAAAACATACAGATAATGATACTGTTTGATTGTAGTATGTAGTAAAGGTTAGTAATGATTCAGATGTTGATTCTGTTTGACTGTAGTATGTAGTAGAGGTCAGTAATGATACAGATATTGATGTGTTTGAGTGTAGTGTGTAGTCGAGATCAGTAATAATACATATATTGATAGTGCCTGTCTGCAGTATGTTCTCTAGGTCAGTAATAATACAGATAGTGATAGTGTCTGACTGTAGTATGTAGTATAGGTCAGTAATAATACAGATGTTGATAGTATCTGACTGTAGTATGTAGTCTAGGTCAGTAATGATACAGTAATGATATTGGTAGTGTCTGACTGTAGCATGTAGTCTAGGTCAGTAATGATACGGCTATTGATAGTGTTGACTGTAGTATAATGTCTAGGTTAGTAATGATACATATATTGATAGTGTATGATTGTAGTATGTAGTCTAGGTCAGTAATGATACAGATATTGATAGTGTTTGATTGTAGTATGTTGTCTAGGTTAGTAATGATACAGATATTGACAGTGTTTGACTGTAGTTTGTAGTAAAGGTCAGTAATGATACAGATATTGATAGTGTTTGACTGTAGTATGTAGTAGAGGTTCGTAATAATACAGATATTGATAGTGTATGATAGTAGTATGTAGTCAAGGTCAGTAATGATACAGTAATGATATTGGTAGTGTCTGACTGTAGCATGTAGTCTGACCTCCACTACATACTACAATCAATCACTATCAATATTTGTATCATTCCGACCTCTACTACATACTACAGTCAGACACTATCAATATCATTACTGTATCATTACTGACCTCTACTCAAACTACAGTCAAACATTGTCAATATCTGTATCATTACTGACCTCTACTACATACTACAGTCAAACACTATCAATATCTGTACCGTTACTTCCCTCTACTACAAACTACAGTCAAACACTGTCAATATATGTATCATTACTAACCTCGACTACATACTACAGTCAAACACTATCAATATCTGCATCATTACTGACCTCTACTACATACTACAGTCAAACACTATCAATATCTGTATCATTACTGACCTCTACTATTTACTACAGCCAAACACTATCAATATCTGTATCATTACTGACCTCTCCTACAAACTACAATCAAACACTTTCAATATCTGTATCATTACTGACCTAGACTACTTACTACAGTCAAACACTATCGATATATGTTCCATTACTACACTATGCTATAGTCAAACAGTATCAATTGTATCATTACTGACCACTACTACATACTACAGTCAGACACTATCAATATCTGTATCATTACTGACCTCTACTACTTACTACAGTCAAACACTATCAATATCTGTTCCATTACTAAACTATACTATAGTCAAACAATATCAATATATGTATCATTACTGACCTCGACTACATACTACAGTCAAACACTATCAATATCTGCAACATTACTGACCTCTACTACATACTACAGTCAAACACTATCAATATCTGCATCATTACTGACCTCGACTACATACTACAGTCAAACAATATCAATATCTGCATCATTACTGACCTCTACTACATACTACAGTCAAACACTATCAATATCTGTATCATTACTGACCTCTACTACTTACTACAGTCAAACACTATCAATATCTGTATCATTACTGACCTCTACTACAAACTACAATCAAACATTGTCAATATCTGTATCATTACTGCAGACATCTTCTGTATACTAGTTTCAAACACGGATAATTCACATGTGAATTTGAGGCCCAAATTTGGACGGTGACCAGTGAACACTATTCGTGATGAATTACCTGCCCTTTTTGCACACGTAGATGTCGCTTAACCATTCTCATTGTCATTGGTTTTGTGAGCCCGGTCTGATAAGACGCACGTGCAGGGATGAGTCGCAAAGCGTGGAATGGAGTGAAAAAGCCCGACATGTTGGAATGTCTAAAGACATTCAGAACTAATGGGCAGCCTCCAAAGGTTATGGCGAATTGGAAGGAAGCAGTAAATATAGAGACCCTGAAAATAGAAGAGCTAAAATCTGGCTTTGAGAAAATGGATGTAGATCCAACAGAAATGGCACAACTGTTGGGCATAGCGGAAACAAGGGAAAATCTAATCGTAATGGCGATAGCCACAATTTTAACAGCGCTAGAATCGGACAAAGGGGATGATGAACCCCCGAAGAAAAAAGCGAAGAAAGTCAACGATAAGGTAATTAGTCGGTTTTGTGTTATTTGTAAAACTGTTTCAAAAAGTAAGTGGTAGTCATGTGAGTTGTTTGTACGATAGATTCTGACCCGATTGTGGGCTTTAGGGGTGGTCCTTTCGGTATTATGTACAGTTGGTAAAGGTTCTTCTAAAATTCCTTAAAATGAATCCGGTCATCAACGGATATGGCTCTACATGACTTTGGCTACAGGCGCTGTGGGAGTGTGTAAAAGGAGATTGTAGAGGAGTGGCTAATAAGGCGCAGTGTTTCGGGCTTTGATCATGTATGTAAACAGTATAATTAGGTCATGACCGTGTAATTTTGGCTAGGACAAGTTCACTTTGGAGATAATCTATCGAACTTTATATACGGTGGATGTTATATCTGGGATGTATTGAGCTGCATATAATTTTAGTATGTATTCTGTTACGTGATTTATGATTTGACTGTTCTTGTCCGTTAAATGACAAGTAGTGAATTCAAAAAAATTTTGAATGAATTTCCATCCCACACACCCCCTACTCTGATAAAATGTTAGCTTGAAAAGGTCATCGTAGTTTGTAACAAAAGTTTCGGGAGTCAGAATAATCATGTATAGGTAGTTAATTAAAGCTAGTTAGGTATTGACTGTTTTCGTCCGTTAAATGGCAAGCAGTTACTTTACATTGGTTCTAAATGAATTTCCTTCCCCCACACACTCTATTCTCGTATAAAATCTAAGATTGAAAAGTAAATGTGGTGCGTGTAGCTGAAGGTGACAAAAGTTATAATTTGGGTAGAGAATGGGGATATTCATGACTAGTTAGGGCTATGTGTGACTGTTCTTGCCCGTTAAATGACAAGCAGTTCGGGTTGTCTTAAATAGATTTTATGCCAACTGTTTGTGTAGCAGTAAATTGGTTTGTATATTTCGTGTCTAGGTAATGTTTGGGTAGCAAAGAGAAACTGTTTGTGTAACAGTACATTGGTTTGTATATTTAGTGACTAGATAATGCTTGTGTAGCACAGAGAAACTGTTTGTGTAACGGTATATTGGTTTATTTGTATTAGTGACTAGATAATGCTTGTGTAGCAAAGAAAAACTGTTTGTGTAGCAGTAAATTGGTTTGTATATTTAGTGTCTAGGTAATGTTTGGGTAGCAAAGAGAAAATTGTTTGTGTAACGGTACATTGGTTTGTATATTTAGTGTCTAGTTAATGCTTATGTAGCAAAGAGAAACTGTTTGTGTAACGGTACATTGGTTTGTATATTTAGTGTCTAGGTAATGCTTGTGTAGCAAAGAGAAACTGTTTTTTGTAGCGGTAAATTGGCTAAGGAAAACTTGTTATGTAGCAGAGTAGTAAGTCAGTTGTGAATATTAGTTTTGGGATAGTTAGCCTAACGAGCGGTGACTGTTTAGCTGGTGTGTAGAAGGGAGAGAATGCTATGACTTGTTGGGTAGTGGTTAGTAGGTATTTAGAGGTATGGTTTAGTGTAAAATAGAAATGGGGCTCAAATGAATGTGGTTATGTGTGGTAACGTTATGTCCTGTAGTAAATGTGTATTTTGAAATGGTTGTGAGGTAAAATTTACTTCTTGTTTCAGAATCCAGGTGCAGGTATTGATAAAGTTTCCATAAAAGAAAGAATTGTTGAGTTAGATTCGTTAATTGGCAGTAAAAAATATGTTAAGCAGAAGGATATGTTGCCAACGGATGTAGAGAAGTTTCTCGAAGAATACAGTAAAAGCACAATAGATAAAGCGACACCCCATGATATGCGAGCTTTTTTAGTGTATAAAGAATCGT